CAGAGCCCAGCCCCACACAAATACTGATTGGTTTTTGCATCTGAAAGGTTGTGTATCACTTTGCCATTTCTAAATTTACATGATATAATCCATGTACAAGATGGGAGATTTCAGACCCTGCGGGAGGAGCAAGTACCACATGCTTAGTTTTCCAAATATATCTAGAGACACAAAATATTTTAAAAGAGGCAGAATTTCAGGCGTGCCTTCCTCAATCTCAGATTTCATCAGTTTGTGGTTTCAGTAAGAATTTCTGAATTCCTATTACCTGTGGAGAAAGCATCTGACACATTTCCCACCTTGACATTTATTTTACAAAAGAAAATAATAATCACTTAAAACAAATGCGCAAACAAACAAGAACCCAAACCCCCATCCAATCAAGCATTACAAAACTCTAGGCGGTCAACTTCACAACCGAAGTTGGAAAATATAAATGTATTATTTTAAAGACATTTGTTGGGGGCTCTGAGACCTGGCATTGGGAACATACATTAGTCAGAACTCCGGGCCAAGTCTTGTACTCATTTTTTAAAAGGATGATGGTAGGCTGTAAAATTACACCTTGTGTGATTTTAATGAACGGTTAGAATGCCTCTCAGATCAGAAGTTCCTAGTACATTGCAAGGACTTTTGGGAGAGGCTACCAGGTCATCAGCCTTCACAATGTTCTCCTTGGTTTGCAGCTGCTGTTTCACCTATGAGGATGCTTCCCCTCCTCTTTGTTCTATCAGTGGCACCCCGTTTCCCGCAGAGTGACTGGCAGGTCAGCAATGCAGCATTCTCTTCTAGCACACATCTCTTACTCAGATGTATACTGGAGTCACCTGGGGAATTTGAAAGATTCTGATGTCTGGGTGTCAGCGCCATGGGTTCTGGTTTAATTGGGCTTGGATATTGGTGCCTGCGTGAGCTCCCCAGGGGATTCTCATTTGAAGCCAAAGCTGAGAGCCATTGTCTTCCAGGCTGTTCAACTCATGTCTCTGCTGGAGTAAGTTCATCAGTCCCTGCACCTTTAGGCTCTTGGACTTCAAGAACCTATTGATCTCTTGTCTCACTTGCTCTGTCTTTCATGTACACAGGCTGCAAAGGCAGGCTTAGGAGGAGTCGCTGAATTCTTTCTCTGACTGACTCCCAGAAGAAGCTGGAAGAAGTCTAGCAGATATAAGTACTGGCAAAATATATCAAACAATATGTCAAAATATCAAAATATATCTGACAAATGTCACCTCCTGTGCCAGAGAAATTCTGAAAGCACAGGAGGGTCCTGGGCGAGAATTCCCACTCTGTCTCCATAGACTTAGGACAGTTGCCTCCCTTTCTGAGCCTCAGCTTCCTCATCTACGAAAACAGAACTACTCTCTAAGGCTCACTTAGATCACTGTTCAAAGTGTTTAGAACAGTGCCCAGCATGCAGCAGATGCTCATGGGGATAGCTACTTTAATGGAGCAAATTAATAATAATTATGATCACGCCCCAAATTAATAATAATTATGATTTATGGAACCAATTTATCCAATGCTTTATGAAACCTATATTTATTACATATTGACTTTGTGTCAATCACACTGCTAGATACTAGGGATACAGTTATAAATAAAACAGATGTTCTTATCTTGGTACATTTTACACCTTAGCTAAACGCTTTACCTATTCTGGAGTTAATGTCAAGTAGCCCAAAGACTGGGCTTGTTAGGGAGATGATACAACTAGCGAACTGATCTCCTGTGCACACTCACAGCGAATACTCAGAGTGCACTAGGCTATGAAGAGAAATTTTAGTCAGACAGCCAAACACTTACTGGAGTTCCATAACAGCCGTGAAGAGACGGGAGGGCATCAAATACCTTATGAGACTATCAAAAGCTACATCTCAGAAAAGCAAATGTGTTTCCCCCACCTCATTCAAGCAGTTTTATGAGGAGTGGCGTACCTCTCCGGGTTGTTGAAGGCCAGAGAAGCTGCATTCCCTCCACCAGCAGCTCACCTCATTGGCAGTGCTACTGTGCCTCCCAAGCTACAGAGTGGTCTATGTACTGTAAGGTGTGTGACTTTCTTATGTTATAGGAACTTGTATCCTCTGCTTCAGTCTGCTGGTACCTTTCACTGACCTCTGTGACAATACTACCTCTCCCAATAACAATCCTAAGAGCTGGTGGGTAACTTGCCCAAGGTCGTTGAGCTGGTAAATGGTGAGGCCAAGACTGAACCACAGATCTGTCTGACTGCACCGCTCATCCTCTTCACCTCTGCCTCAAGCAGACAAACCTCTGGTGACTGTGCTTTGGCAATATCAAAACCTGACTGTTCAGAGGATAATTTTAAAACCACAAGCAAAGAAGAAGAAGATCAGATGGAACTCGAAGACGACATTGTGACTGAAACTAATCTAATCTTGGCCTGTTGAGCCCCTTATGAAATTATGTGAGAGACTGGAATCCAATAAAGAAATGTGTCCAGTTTGCCTGGTTATCAATCAAACTTGCGGATACTTAATCTCATGACATTCCTAGATTAAAGCCTTCATGATTCAGAGTCTCATCTCTTCGGAGCTGAAGCTACAACTTTTTGTTAGACCAAGATTATAACAACTATGGCTAGAAAAGCAACAGTAGCAGTTTGTAGACAGTGTCAGATCCTTGCGAACCCCAGACAATCTGTCTCCACCTTACTGATACATCTTTTTACTGTGATGGTGGCATGTGTGAGGGACCATAGGCAACAGCTTATGTGAGAATGCTCTGGGGATCACGTGGAAGGACAGAGGTCTGAGCCAGTTTTTTCTGACTTTCCATGGGCTGCAGTACACACTTTCTAGGGTATTCTTGGGCTCACAGTGATTGACTTCTCTACTCCCCATCCAGAACATGGGTCCCTGGGCGTCATGTTTATGTTCATGAAATATGACCCTACCTCCACTTCAACCACACTTGCTTAGACCAGAGGTGGCCATTTGATCTGAAAAGGGCTGGATTACATTCTCTCTTGTGGCAGACTGCATTGTTCCTAGTTTACCCTGCTTTTGATGTCGCTTGATGTTGGACTCGGCTATGTGACTTGCCAATGGAAGGTCATAGGGTGCAAGCTGAACTGAGGCTTTAAATGGGTCTCTTGAGCTCCTAATGTGTGCCCATGAGAAGAACATGCCGCAGGGATGTGCTGGTGCCCAGAGGAGGAGAGACACATGGAGCGGACTGGACACAACCTCCCGCTCACTGTCAGGCCCACCTAGAACCAGGCCCACAGGCACAGGTGCAAGGACTAAATGCTTATGGTTGCATATCCTTGAGTCTTGGCATGGGTTTTATACAGCAGTATCATGGCAACAGGTGACTGATACATCTCTTCTTGAAACTTAATTAAACTGAGAGACAAAGAGACTCTGTTGGGAACTGGGGCATCTAAATGGCAGAACTCACTATGGAAGGATGCTGAGCTATTTTTTTTCTCTTTTTCTAACTTGCCCATTTGCTTAAATATTTTTGCCTTTTTAAAAAATTTAAGTGAAGTTCACATAACAAATTAATCATTTTAATTTTTTTTCTTTACTGATTTTAGAGAGAGAGGAAGAGACAGATACAAGCATACAAGCATTGATGAGAGAGATCATCGGCTGGCCGCCTCCTGCATGCCCCCCACTGAGGATTTGGCCCACAAGTTGGGCATGTGTCCTGACTGGGAATTGAACTAGCAACCTCTTGGTGCATGGGTTGACGCTCAACCACTGAGCCACACTGGTTGGGCAAAAACCTAATCATTTTAAAGTGAACAGTTTAGTGACATTTAGTTAGTACAGTCACAGAATTTTACAACCACCACTTCTAACTAAAATACTGTCATCACTGAAAAATAAAACCCTGTGCTCATTAAGCAGTTACTCCCAATTTCTCCCTTTCCCCTAGTTCCTCGAAACCACCAACCTAATTTGTTTTTGTGGATTTACTTATTGCCATGGACTGAGTTGTGCCCCCCTCCCACCAAATTCATGTTGAATCCTAACCCCTATGTAACTTTATTGGAGATAGAGACTTTAAAGAAGTGATTATGGTCAAATGAGGTCAGAAGGTAAAGCCCTGAACTGATAAAACTGGTGACCTTATAACAAAAGGAAGCGATGCCCGAGCTCCCACGTGAAGGCACAGTGAGAAGGGTCCATCCCTAAGTCTCACCAGAGCCCTGACACGCTGTCACCTGATGGTGCCAAGCGCACTGTGAGAAAATACCTTTCAATTGTTTAAACCATCCAGTATATGGTATTTTGTTACGACAGTCCAAACTGACTAACACACCTATTCTGGATATTCATATAAATATGGTTGTACAATATGTGACACCTTTGTAGACCAGTATGTGACACCTTCTCTTATTTAGCATGTTTTCAAAGCTCATCCACGTTGGAGCATGTATCTGTCATCATTCCTTTATATGGCAAAAATAATATTTTATTGTATGGATAGTACATTTTGTTTATCTATTCATCTGGTGGTGGATACATGAATTGTTTCCATCTTTGGCTACTGTGACTTGTGCTGCTATAAACATTTGAATACACGTATTTGTTTGAGTACCTGTTTTCAATTCTTTTGAGTATATACCTAGGTATGGAAGTGCTGGGTCATATGGTAATTCTCAAATGCCGACCTTTTGGTGCTAAGATCTGCAAAACTATTTCTTACTTTCTACACAAGGAATTCTTCATTGTATTCTGTAAGATAGCCCAAGAATACTTTCAATAATTTTCCTTCGTCGCTGTAGCTAGACAATTCTTGTAAGCTAGAGTTAATTGTTTTTACTTGAAACTTAGAGAACATAATTTAATAGACAACAAAGTTTTTAATTTTTGGTCATAATATTATTTTTAAAAAGGGCTCAAAAATGCCTCTTTCAAAGTTTGCCACATAGATGGTAAATCCCCCATTGACCGTAATCAAATTGGGTATCTTGATGGGATTCTGGAATCTGTCTTGCCTGTGGGACTGTTGCTTAGATTACCCCTTACCTTTGGGACCAGGCAGCATAAGACCTTGCATTTAGAGCATATTCCAGTTCAAAACGACTCCGTAAAGCTGCCACGTGGCTCCGGCCAGGTCCTCCTTTGCTCACCAGGCAATCGGAAGAAGAGGAAGGAGAGAGAGATCCGCTGCTGTTACTCGATGCAGGAGACATCAGCTGAGTGAAGGAGGGACAGTTTCAATCATTTAATAAATCCAACAGGCTTAAAGGCATAGCACAGAATAAGGCTTTATTTTAACTTTCTATTCTAGGATTTCTCATATTTTAATTTCCATTTCTCTCAGCTTGCTTCTGGCTTTTCCTTTCGGCCTCTGATGGCAGCATCTGGCTAGCTTAATTTACTTTTTTGACCTAGTTCTATGTTGAGAGCTGGCCCATTAAATTTATGCTTATTTTTCAGAAAACAGAATGGGCTCAAATCAGATTCATGGAATAGATATTTAGAAGGTTATTATTTAATTGTTAAAAGATATTCTACATTTTTTTTTTTTTACTATGGTGATAAGATTCATTGCAGAGTTCCTTTAACTTGCAACTTAAACTTATTCCTTTTATTTACTTTTTAATTATTATTTTTTGTTGTTACTTTTTACCTGAGGATATTTTTTCCATTGATTTCCAGAGAGAGTGGAAGGGAGCATGGGAGAGGCAGAGAGAGAGAGAGAGAGCGAGAGAGAGAGATTGGTGTGAGACAGACACATTGATTGGTTGCCTCCCGCATGTGCCCAAACTAGGGCCAAGATCAAACCTGCAACCCTAGTATGCATCCTTGAGCAGGAATCAAACCCTCCACCCTCCAGTGCACGGGCAGATGCGCTAACCACTTAGCAGCACCGGCTAGAGCCAAATTATTCCCTTTACATAAAATGGATTTACACACTTTTCCAAGAATATGTCCATTTCATAAAATGAAAAATACTTCAATGTCTGGCAAGCATGAGGATGAATTAAAGTTGTTGTAAAAGAGTTGTTGTAACTATTTAAAAAATAGTTACAAATGGTGAAGTATTGCCAGAAAATAGAAATGCATGAGGAAAGAAAATTAGAAAGAGAAGAGAAAAACTAAGAGAGTAGTTTTTCTGAGTTTTGACAACCTTGCTGTTTATGTAGTCCACCTAACCCAACTGAGAACACTAGCACTTTTGACATTATAATTTCATAAGACAGGTAGATGGTAGACTTTGATTTAAAAAAATAATATATGTAAATTCTAAGTAAAACTCTGAGAATCATGTTATGTTGGTGTTGAAATGAAAGTTCAAATTCTTCAATGATTAAATCTCTTTTGTGTATCTTTTTTTTTTTTTATCCTCACCAGAGGATATTTTGGCATTTATCTTCAGATAGTGTGGGAGGGAGAGAGGGAAAAAGAGACAGAGAAACATCGATGTGAGAGAGACACATCAAGTGGCTGCCACCCATACGACCCCAACCAGGAATGAGGACAAACTACCACCGAGGTATGTGCCCTTAATGGGAACCAAACCTGGGACTCTCTGGTCAGCGGGACGGTGCTCTAACCACTGAACAAAACTGGCCAGGGCTTGTGTATCAAGGTTCCTCATCACTAGGTAACCTCCAGTGATGAGGAACTCAGTGCCTCCAGCTCTGCTTATTTATCTTAGGACAGCTCTAGCCATTAGAAAGCTCTTCTCGGAATAAACCAGATCTACTGTTGGCCCACAGAAAACAAGGCCAATCCCTCTGCCATATGATAGTTCTTCAGATATTTAAAAACAGCTGTTGGACTCATCCTAATTTTCTCTGGGACAAGCATTCCTGCCTCTCAAATACATGACTTTCAATCCATTCACCAGTTTGATCTCTCTTTTCTAAAAATTTTGTCCCAGTTTTAATTATCCCTTTGAATAGGCATAACTGGGTACTATTTTGTTTGGCCATCTCAGAACAGAGAGAAATGATCACATCTTTTATTCTGTAGCAAGACAGCTATGTCATATTCCAACTCACAAAGAGCTTAGTATTCAGTAACATTCATGATGCTCCTAAATAATATATTTGCCATATGATACTTTTACTATTGTTTCTTTGGGTGTGATATTATATTTATTCATATTATATTTATTCCTATTAAATTTATTCTTGTTAGACATATCCTATTACTGTATCCTCCAAGATATTCTAGACCACTGCTTTCGAGTCTTTATTGTCTCTTTCAACTTTCTTTTATCTGTAGATATGGTAAGCAGTGCCTTCTTGATCTTGGTCTAAACCACGAACTGAAAGGTTGAAGAGTAGAGAACAGAGCCTTATTGAACTTCCATAAGTCAAGCCCCTTAAAACTGATTCTGGTCCATGAATTAGTGTAACCCAGTCCAGCAAATTCTTTTTGCATATTGTCCATAGTTATTCATCTTCTTCACTAGAAGAGATTGTGCTAAGAGGTTTGGTCAATATAACAAGACAAGCTAGTTTAGCAGATCTTACTATTGTTCCTGTTTCTGAAGTCTACTCTGTGAGCTAACTGGATATATCCCCAGGCTTGGAGCAACCTTATTCTGTCAAACATAAAAGTTTAAAGTGAGAGAGTATGGAACTCAAACCTTAAAAGCATCTCTCAATATCCAAGGCCTCTGGCAGATGCTCTTGGTGGTGGTGGGGCTTCAGGCACCCCACCAAATATACTACTTCTCTCCACGTTGTATGTTTCAGGACTGAAGAGAAGGGAAAGGAAGTTTCATGTCTAAAGACGGGAGCTTCCTCCTACATAAAAGGCCACCTCTTTAGAAGTTCCAGTAGAGAGTCGTGAGACAGAGTCATCATGGCAGATCACTGCAGGCTGCAATTGCAAACCCTTTCCCAATAGACTAGATTCCAGTGACTGTGTTGAGATGTTTTTGCGGAGTAGGGGAGAAAAACTTTCTTTGACTCGCTCTGCTTTGGTATTTAGTTGTGCAATTTCAGGTTGATGCTGCTTCTCCCCATTTTATGCCCTTCTCTTCGTATGTACATGTGTATGTTAGCCTGTATGTGTGATGTTCATTCCCCTCTCCTATTACACTCATTTGCATTTGAGAATATATTATTATTTTTGAATTAGTGTTCATGTTCTAGCTTCCTTGCCTATTTTCAAATGCTATCTTCTTACCAGGTGTATAGAAAATTGAGGTAATTATAGAGAAAATTAAAGCAAACAGCTCCTTGATATTAAGGGAAGAAAATTCCATTAACCTGATTACCAACATATATCACTTTATGCAATATACATATGGCATAAAAGCAATGCCTCCCAATTAATTTATGCACTAATTATAGTGATTATTTTTTTTCTCATTGGACATAAATGAACAATGGCTTAATATTTTAGCTTAAGTTGCACGGTATGTAGAAATGTGCATATAAAAAAATTAATTTAAATAATTACCTTCTAACATATTTGTTTTATTTTCAAATTTCTACCTATCAATTTTTCAACTTGGGTATACCTGTGTCCATTTTCCTGCCTGGTTATTCTTGAAAGGGCCCCCAATTCACTCTGGATTTGCCTTTGTCCTCATAAATGCAGTCAATTCTGCTCCACCCTAGGGGCTTAATTAACAGGGTGAAATAGAATGGAGTTATGGACCCTCACACTCACTGTCTTTCCATTAGTACCATTTTACTCACCTTCCCAACATCCTTGGACATTCAGGGCTTTTCTAATGAACACATTCCAGAAGCCAAATTTCTTACCTCAATGTTGCAGAGACACTCCTCTAACTTGGTAACAACTTCCGAAAATTCAGGTCTTCCCTGTAAATAAAGAAAGGACATGTTTCCCCAGAGAGTAAAAGACAGGCAACTTTCTTTGGATTTTAAAATTGGGTATTTGCATTTGTAAAGAATGAGATAAACAATAATGTATATTTTTATTTAAAATACACTTGTATTGAAGTGTTAATTGAATGTTCCTTTGCTGTTCAGAGAGGGATGTTGAGTCTCCCTCCGATAAGAGTTTTAAGTCAGAATTTGCAACTGCATTCAGATAATAAAATAGTGAAAAAGTTTAATTAGCTTTGCATGTTTTTAAATGGCAGGTTTTCCTCTTCAAAATGAAAGAATAAAGTGAATACTAAAGACCATTAACTATCTCTGTGCCTTGTACTGTACAAGGTTTCTATAGGAAAAGGACTGCTAAAGATAATTTTATAATTAGCTTCACTTTTGAAAATACCATCTCAGATTCACAGCCAAGATCAATAGAAACCTCATGACTGTGTCCTATTTTATGGGTTTAAGATAAGCTTTTTATCTTCCAAAAGTGTCATTAAAGACCTTGTTCATTATGAACCTCTGTGTCTGATGAGTTTGGTTGAACAAACATTTATCATAATCTGATTATATTTCACACTTTGTTCTAGTTGCTAGGAATATAAAAATGATTATGAATCTATGAAAAAAAATTCTTGGAATTTTTGAAAATGTTGGTCTCTTTTGAAGAAATTATATACCTCCTTTGTCAGACCTGAAGGACTACATAACCTACCATTTCTCCTTTTACGGAATTTTCACTGCCGGGAGGTAGGTAGCTCAATTTAGCATTCAGGTGCAGTAACCAACTAATTTAGATTTTTAGTAGAACAATTTCTCCCTTAATATCTAGCCCTCCCCTGAGAATACGGCCTCTCCACAGCCCTCCCAAGTGGAAGCAGTTTTCTCTCGAGTACTCCTTATACCTCTAGGTTGGTGGGAACGGTGGGGAGAATGGGGGCCAGTGTCTTCTGTCTCTTCCTTAGTTTCAAATGCTTTTCTCTCTAAAACCCATCAGCTTTCTCAGCTATTCTGCTGAGTCACTCTCCCTCATGCTTGGAAGGTTTTAGTGGCCCCACTCACTGTCATGCTCTCTAACATCACTCAGTGTTTTTATTATCCATGTAGATGATCCTTACAATGGCCTGACCTCTGGGTTCCTTTGGTCTTTCCTCCACCTTTCCTCAGTCACCTACTCCCTGGTCATACCCCAGACCCCATTACTAACAGTGCTGGCTACCCCTCCTTGCGCTCTGTTTTCTCAGATTATCTCAGATCACACTCTGGATCCTATGTCCTCTCTTTCTAATTCACTGCTTCTGTAACACTGGTGCCAAAAATCTTAGACCACACCAACCATCTCATCAGTTAAAAAAACCAACTTTGTATTGTGACTGTTTCGAATATACCCCCAAGTAGAAAAGAATAGTAAAATAACTCCCCCCATGTATATGTTATTCAGACTTACAAAACATGTTTCTGCTAATATTGTTCCATCATCTATCTATTGTCTAATCTATGTTCCTGTTTTTCTGTTCAACACCCCTCTACCTCCGCATCTTTTTACTGTCACTCGCTCATCTGACTTTCTCCCTTACTTTGCTTAGATGACATTGATGATCATAATCAGCCTCCATTCCTGGGCCCTATCGTTCATTTTACACACTATTGGAAAAATCCCAATGTTAATTAAATATATCTTGACTGGTCTTACTTCAAAATCATGACCCTTTAACTTCAAGTGGACCCTGGGACAGCCTACAGAGCCTATGTATAGCTCATACACTCTCTCACACTCCAGATGGCTACCTTCACCTCTTTCCTCAAAGCTCTAGTTCCCCCCACTACACCCAACACCCAGCTGTGTCTAAACCCACACAATCTGCTTCCACTTCTATTTCTACAGATGGACTCTGTCTGATTCTATCCAATTCCTTCACTGCCTACTAGTTCTCATCTCTGCTAATCTATTAAAGGGCATTGCTCCAAAAATAATTCTCCGTTCTATTTTTTTGCATCATGGATGTTCCCTTTCTATGGTTTAATCCCATCAACATACAGCCATGCTGTAAATTCTCCTGAATTAAAAACAAATACACAACAATAAAATAAAATTCCCAACTCTACTTCTTCCTCAAGCTATTACTCCATTTTCCTGTTCACCAAAATTGCTCTAAAGTCTTCACTACATTTGCAGTTTCCTATCCTCTTTCTTCTCTTTATCCTCTTCCCCAATCAGGATGTCTTCTATTGCACTCTGCTGAAGCTGCCCTTGTCAAAGACACAAAGACCTGCCTCCTCATTACTGCCTTCAGTGGCTCAGTCTCAGTGCTCATCGTACTTGGCACAGCATTAAATACAAATCATCAATCCTTTGCCCCTAAAATATTTCCATTTGAATTTAAGGTCATTACTTTCTCATGTTTCTTCTCTCTCACTTGTTATTTCTCAGTCTCCCCTTTTGGTTTCACTTCCCTCTATCTTTAAATTCTGGGTTGTACCAGGACTCAGCTTGGAGGTCTCGCTCTCTCCCTCTCTTTTTTTCTCTTTAGAGTTAATTTGTTGAGGATTCCATTCAGTCTCATAGCTTTATAAAACAACTCCTAAATCTTTATATCTAGCCCAGTATTCTCCCTTGAACTCTACATTTACATCTGCAGTTTCTTGTATTTATAGTCTTCCCTGCTTCAGCCAATGGCAACTCCATCCTTTTACTTGGAGAGGCCCCAAACCATAGGATAATCTCTGAATTCTCTGTTATACTCTTGCTTCTAATCCACCAGTAAATCATACTCACTTCAAAGTGTGTGCAGAATCTGAATGAGCAAGCAGCATAATATTGAATCAACCCTCCCCCATACAACAAGTGTAAACTCTGGACAAAATGTAAAAGAGAACTACCTGAAGGCAGTAGAGTGAACAAATACAAGTGGATTCTTGAGGAAAGTCAGTTGCAAGAAAAGAAAGGTACGAGGTAAGTTTCCCATCTTTATCATTATTATTATTATTATTATCATTACTATTATTATAACATTTACCCTGAGGGCAAGCCTCATCTACAATTTAGGGAGAAATTAAAATTCTGATGAAACACCCACAGCAGGTTTACTTTCCTGAAGAACCAGAGAACAGAATTCAGGGCAACCAGAGTATACAAGCTATGGTTTTATAACAAATGATCACAAATGTAATGGTTTAAAACAACACCCATTTATTATCTTACAGTTCCCGTGAGTCAAGAAGTCCAGTCCAGATTAACTGGGTCCTTTGCCCAGGGTCCCATCAGACTAAAATTCAGCTGCTATCTGGCACTGTGATTCCCCTCTGAGACTCAGGGGCCTCTTTCAAGCTCACTGGTTATTAGAATTCATTTCCTTGTGAAGCATTTTATAACATGGCCTTTGCCTCTTCCTGGCCAGCAAGTTTCTCTAACTCCTTCCTCTGTGACCAACTGGAGAAAAATGCTCTGCTTGCATAGGGTTCATCTGATAGGTCAGGTCTACCCAGGATAATCTTCCTTTTGTCCATATGAAGAAATATGATTATGAGAGTAATACCTCATCATGATTACAAGTTTTGTCCTCATTCAAAGAAGTGGGGGGTGTTATCCTTGGCATGTATGCCAGGGGACAGGAACCTTGGGGCCACCCAAGAAAAGTGAGGAGAGATCCTGGAAGAAGAGAGCCTGAGAGAGGGAGTTTCAGGATCTGCATATGAACTCTGCCTAAATCTCTGGCCAACCTCTGAACTACATATGCATGAGGCAGATGCTAAACAGCCCAGTGAGGCTAAAAGATGAAGTGAGATTCAATCTTTTGTCCAATGCAGGTATTGCTCTTACTCTCTAACTTTTCTTCATTGCCTATGGATATCATCTGTCCTCTTCAGGCTCAATTCATAAAACATAACCTTCTTAAAATGTCCAAGTGATTCCACACAACGATTTTATCCTTTATATAGATTGATCTTATTCTTCCTTGTTTTAACTATTTACATGTCTGTATCACTAGCTAGAGTGCTTTGAGGGTGAGCCATAATTCATTTACTCTTGCATATCTAGCATGTTCTATTGTATAGGATAGTTTAGTTGAGCTCAAATTTATTATATTAAATAGTATCATGATAATAAAAAATTATCTAGAATCTGACTACCCCTTGTCTAAACCACCGGCATCTCTTGCTTATGTTATTATAATTGACTAAGTACTTCTGCTGCTTTTGTTTTTTGCCTATTCAAAGTATGTTCCCAACCCACAGCTAACATTATAGTCAATGGTGATAAGCTGAAAGCTTTTTCTCTAAGATCAAGAAGAGACAACGATGCCCATTATTCAACACAGCACTGGAAGTTCTAGACAGAGCAATTAGACAAGAAAAAGAAATAAAATTAATCCAAATTCGAAATGAAAAAGTGAAACTATTACTATTTGTGGGTGACAAGATATTATATGTTGGGAACCATAAAGATTCGACCCCAAACTGTTAGAACTAGCAAAAATACTAAGTAAAGTTTCAGAATACAAAATCAATATAAAAATATATATTGTATTTCTATGCAGTAATAATAAGCTATCGGAAAGAGATATTTAAAAGATAAACCCATTTGCAATTGCATCATAAAGAACCTAGGAATAAATTTAAACAAGAAGTTGAAAAACCTTTACACTAAAAACTGTAAGATACTGAAGAAAGAAATTGAAGAAGACATAAATAAATGGAAAGATATTCCATGCTCATGGATTTGAAGAATGAATACTGTTAAAAAGTCCTTCCTACTCAAAGCAATCTACAGGTTCAATGAATTCTCTATCAAAATTCCAATGGCTTCTTCATAGAAATAGAACAAACAATCCTAAAATATATATATATATATATGAAAAAACCATAAAAGACCCCAAATAGCCAAAGCAATTTTCAAAAAGAACAAAGCTGGAGACATCATACTCCCTGATTTCAAACTATATTACAAATCTATAGTAACTAACATGGTAGCCAAAAATTTGCTACAGATCAAGTAATGTTACTCACATTGCCTCTAATTATTCTCATGTTACCTTGTATTCATCTGTAAGGCATGCGATAGCCTGCTCCCGTGACTCCCTGACCTGGCCTTCACTTCTGGACTTGGCTGTGCTAACTTCCTCAGGCCCAGCACACCATCCCCTCAGGGAGTCTATTTGCTGTTCTCTCCACATGGATTGACCAGCGTCTTCACCTTCTCCAGGTTTTTTCCAACTCTTTTCCCTTGTCCACCATATTTAGAGGCCCCAAGCTAGTGCTGTCAACTCCCTTTCTTCTTTTATTTATTCCATAGCTCTTATCACGAGATGACTTAATATATATTTTCATATTTATTTATTTATTGTTTATATCCCCTCATAGAATGTCCACCCCATAAGGGCAGGGATTTACTGCTTTCCGCTGCTCTGTCCCCAGAGCCTTGAGCAGTCCCTGACCTACAGAAGTTGTTTAATAAATGCCTGTTGACTGAACGATAAAGTTAACGATTTTGTGTTTTATTTATATTTCATTTTATTCTCAAACTATCTTATCATGTGAGTAGAGGAATTTTATTCCAATTTGCTTCAAGTGTTTTTAATCAATCAGTGACTACATTATAAGTGAATGACCTTTTTCTAAACATTAAATTGGAATGGTGTTAATATTTCACTGGAGGGTTAGAAAGGCATCAAAATAATGTTGAAATTTAACATTTACTGAACACTTAGAGCACTTCACTTAACTGTTATAATGTTTTGAAATGTAGGCATATATTACTTCCATTTTAAACTAGAAAAGGCAGAAAATCAGAAAAATTAAATAATTTATCTAAGATAGTCTAGTCAGTAAATAGCAGGGCTAAATTCAAAGTCAGGTAGAGCTTGTGATCACGGTGCTCCTGCATATGCCCTTTCTGAATGTGGCAATCAAATCCACAAGGAATACTTCCACTGTAATTAGGTAAGATTCGGTGCCTGAGATTAGCTTCTGCATACTAGAAAGAACACTAGATTGAGAGTTAAAAGACTTGAGGTTAAATATCTAATACTCTGTGATTTTGGATAGTTTATTAACCATTTTGAGTTTCAGTTTTCTCAGCCTCAAATTGAGCTGCATCATTAAAAGAATTAAAGAAGATATATATGAAGCTTGACAAACTGCAAAGTATTTTACAAAGTAATTTGATCTTTTAATAATCTATTCTAATGAGTGTGTCCTGGATGTGAGCTCTCTGAATTTATGGTCAAATGCTAAATAGTTTGGTTTAAATTCTATACAAATTAAGGATTCTAGCCATTTATCTGGCATCTTGTGAGAACCAAGATGCTATTTAAAAGGCAAAAATCACCAAAATGCCTCATGAGCTTAATATATTGAAAAGATGGATAATAAATGCCAGTATTATGATATGCATTATCCTCTCCTTTGCTTTCAGGTGGATGGCTCATCCTCGTTGCCATCATGCTGCGGTTGGTGGCAGCCTGCCCTGCATCATGTTCAGTGTGCACCAAAGATGTAACCCTCTGTCACCAGCTATCCTATATAGTAGGTAATAACACCAATAACTCTAAAAAGCAGTGTTTGGGGTACCTGGCATATTCATTGCCATGCTTTTCAGTGTACTGACTGCTTTCTGGGCTCAGTCTAAAGAGGTAAACTTTTAAAGAGAAGCCATTCACAGTAACTAAAGACTGATAACACTATTTTATTTTCCTGTTCCTGGTGTTCTGAAGCCAACTAAAGGCTTCCAGAGGTCATTGAGATATTTCTCCATTACAAGAGAATACCACCATTTCATGCAGCTATACTTTTCTTTATAAAAGAAAAAATAGATCACTTTTATTATATTTCTGTCCACACTTTGTACAGATTTGAACTCTACCATTGGTTGGAAGAAATGTCAATGAATCAGAAACCTGAACCGCAATTGTTCAGCATTAGTAAGATTAAGTGATGTACCAGCAAAACAGATTATTATCAAAGTGCATCTAATTTTGAAAGTCTAGTCTTTTTTTATTGGTGGTAAATGAGCTGTAGAAATGCTAACAAGATATGCTGCCTGTATTCATTACATATTGCTTGCTTAAGTCAACAATTTAATAAGACACCTTATTAACAAATTTGAGGAGAATGTGATTTACATCCTGATATCCAAGAAGAGATAAACACATTATAAATTCCACCCATGAAAAATTTTCAGGAATAAGTCTGAGCAAAGATGGAGTGGAAGAAGATGATTTCTTTTGTTTCTAAAATCCTATGACTTTGTGGGAATTAAGAGGTAGCTGTTATTGTCATCCCTGACGGGAGAGAGACAGTTCCAAGGCTAGTTGGTCGGACACTGTTTCCAGTCAGCATTGAAGACAATTAAACACTAAACTCCCACCCTCTCAATTGGATTTCCTGACTTCACTCCATTTATTTATTTTTTTTGATCAGAGATAGCTGGTGTCTTTAAGAAACACATATTGCTCATTTACATTGCTGCACCTCTGTATCTTCCTTCTCATTCACAGAATGCCAAAACCGTGAAGTTAAATTTCATAAACACAGAGAAGTAAATGGACGACTCGTGAGTGGAGTGTCTGCTTAGTCCTAGACAAGAAGTAATTGACAGCAGCAATAGTCTGCTCCCTCAGAGTCGACAAATCCCTGGAGGACTGGGCATCCATGAACACAAAACTTCTTCGACCCATATCAAAAACAATGATGATACAAAATGCCGAACTGGCCAGAAATTCATATAATCAGTAATAAATACTGAAAACAATAAAAATAAAAAGAAATACCATGACTTAAGCCAGCTAGTGCTGCAGAGATGGGAAGGATTCTTACAAAGAAGGCACTGTGAAAATCCTTTGTCTTCCACATTATTTAACTCTCTTTGTCTCAGTCCCGTCGTCAGGGTTTCGCCAGGGAATTGCGACTTGTTTCCCTCATTGTTGATTGTTCCAATGGCACCTGTAGACCTCCCAGGGACAATGGACTCTTCCATCCTTATGACACTGTCATTTGCAGTCAAAACAATTTTAGCATGATAAAGCTGGGTTACAATGACTCCTGATTATAATATATCTTTATTGAGTTAAAACGCTTTGATCTCTAATGACAGAGCAGTGATCGCTCTGAGGTGATTATGGTGAAGGGATTTAACAGTTGGAGGCCCCGAATACCACCTGCCATCACATGATAGCCTTCATTGGAGGGAACAGATATGAGACAGGAGGCCAAGATGGCCCAGGCTATAATGAGAACCCCACTGACAGATCCTCGGGTTGTCTGGAGAGAATAGAGATCTTTACTAAGTTGCTAACTTTTAGCCTGGAGCAAAAAAAAAAAAAAAAAAAAAATGCAGAAACTAGTGCTCCTTCTCACTCCCCCGCCCCCTCCCATCCCCACGCATACCTTATGTTTGAGAGGGAAGATGACTGGCTTCACAGAACAAATATGTATCACTAGCGGGAAACTGGTGAGCAAGCGCGGACACAGGCCCGGCTCTGGGGCCAGCAGGGCTGGACCAGGTCGGCACCCAGCCTGGCAGAGAAGCCTGAAAAGCCACCTTCAGAAAACATCCACGGTGATAATCCCAAACACACAAGCGAATTAACTTTGACATGTAAAGGGACAGATGGATTTATGTTTCTCCAATAAACATGTCGTAGTAACAAAGAATATAAAAATCCATCATTCTGCTAAACAGCCCGACTTCCCCTGAAACGGAGAAATCAGACAATCCTTTTCGTTTTGTTTATCGTTCTTACCCAGGTGAGAAGATTGCTCCGAGGGTACGGATGGTCTTTGCTCGCCACCGGACCCCCTCTCCCTTGTGTGTATCTTGTTTTCTAGTCTGTGCTTTTCTTCCCCCACAGCAGCCCCTGTGACCACGCGAGTTTTGATCATCACGGACGGGTCCCTCTCCTCTATAGGGAGCACAAACCTGTCTCTCCTGTTTAATCTGGCCCTGCTGTCCCTGAGCAGGAACGGCATTGAGGATGTCCGGGAAGACGCCCTGCACGGCCTGTCCAGGCTGCGGACGCTGCTGCTGCAGCACAACCGCATCTCCAGCTCTTCGCTCACCGACCGCACGTTCAGCAGGCTGGGCGGCCTGCGGGTGCTCGTGCTCAGCAACAACGCCCTCCGCACGCTGCGCGGGTCCTGGTTCAGACACACCCTGGGCCTGACGCGGCTCCAGCTGGATGGGAACCAGATCACTGACCTGACAGACAGTTCCTTTGGAGGCACACATCTCCACAGCCTCAGGCATTTGGATTTATCGAACAACTTTATTTCCTACGTGGGGAAGGAGGCCTTCCGACCCCTGCCCCAACTGCAGGAAGTGGACCTCTCCCGAAACAGGTTGGCCCACATGCCCGATGTGTTCACTCCACTGAAGCACTTAATCCTTCTGAGCTTAGATAAGAACCAGTGGAGCTGCACTTGCGATCTCCACCCTCTCGCCCGGTTTTTAAGAAACTACGTTAAGTCTTCTGCTCGCAAGCTCAAGAATGCCAAGGACCTAAATTGTCAGCCGTCCACCAGGGTGCCGGCCGGGGCCGAGAGTGTGCTGAGGCTGCCTGACACCAGCTGTGACTCCAAGGCTTCCAACCTCACTCTGGTCCTAAAAGACAGAAGTCCCCTCCTCCCGGGGCAGGATGTGGCCCTGCTGACTCTCCTTGGCTTTGCAGGTATGCCAGGAAGAAGTATACCCTCCTCTTCTCCCCCCTCCTGTCCATAGTCTTGACATAGACTAGGGGATGCTTTTCTCAGGCGATTGGGAATGTTTGGCTTGAGCAAGGGAGAGGACATCAATAGAGTAGGGGGCTGCCAGCTGATTGGCACAGGTTACAGGGATCTCCTGTTGCAGGACAGCTAACAAAAAGGACATGCCCTTGCCCCGGTATTCAATAGCTCTAGTCCTGGTATGACTAGCACCGTGACCCTGAGTGAGTTAACTTGCTGTGTCGACATCAGTATTCTTGTTTGTAATGAGGGCAGAGTATCTATAGTTTATCATTCATCCATACTCCAAAGAATACTGGCACATTTATTGAGATGCTGGGAGACAGGGATTAAAAAGGTTATGAGAGCCCTGGCTAGTTTGGCTCAGTGGTTAGAGCGTCGGCCTGCGGTCCAGAGAGACCGGGGTTCGGTTCCCACTAAGGGCACGTACCTCAGTTGCAGTTTGTCCCCGGCCCTGGTTGGGTTGTGCGAGTGGCAGCCACTCAATGTGTCCCTTTCATGTCAATGTTTCTCTCTCTCTCTCTCTCTTCCTCTTTCTCCCTCCCACTTTATCTGAACAAAAAACGAAAAAATGTCCTCGGGTGAGGATAAAAAAAAAAAAGAGGTTATGAAACATAGTTTCTTTCTGCAAGGCACTCACATGCATGTGCTGTGTTGTAGTAAGAATCGGTGGGCTTTACCAAGCGCACGAGCAGATGCTGTTGCAACATTCACATACATCCTGTTCTACAGTGGTTGTGAAGGACAGCAATGAGGTGCATGAGCTCTGCAGTGGGCTTGCCCAGGTTTGAATCCTGGCTCTGCTCTTACCTGCTGTGTAACTTTGGGCAAGTCATTTGACTTTTCTGTGCCTTGGTTTTCTCCTGTTTGGGGTTTGAATTCTAAGATTTCTATTTATCTCTTTCAAAAACTTGGCCCATCCCTTCACAGACTGGCGAAGGAGAGAATAATCCTCAACCTTTTAAATTTTCTGTGGTAATTTTATAAAAATTTAAATTATGCATCAGCTGTCATTACATCTCACTGAATGAATGATATAAAGTGATGCTTGGTGTCATTAGAGGAAAACCAAATCTGCATGAGATTTCTTGAGTCACCTACCTCAGTGTGTGTTTCCCCCTATGCTTGCAGTGCATGGTAAAATCCTCTGCACCTGTGGTAACCATGGTGATGAGGTGTGTGTGTGTGTGTGTGTGTGTGTGTGTGTGTGTGTTGGGAGGAGGGTTCCCAATGCTGGAAGACCAGAGGCTGGCATCTGGGACTGAAACGATGTATTTTGAATATGAATTATAAATAATCATTCCACAGCAGATTTCCTGCAAATTAATTGAACATCAGGTTTTTTACTTCTAAGTTATACTTACAATCAGAAGAGTTGGAGACCAGCATCAGGTCTGGACAAAGAAACTACCACCAGCAATAATCAAACTCACTTGGAAGTCAATTCAAATCCTCTCAGAAAGATAAATTGCTTTAAAAACTGTGCAACCATGTCAGTAATTATACGTGCTAAAAAATAATTTATTGTAAAAGACAGAAACAATAGGGAAGAAGATGGTTTTTTTTTTTTTAAATGTGCTTCTTAGAACTAGTCGTAGGAGATAATTAATAGATATTGCAATAAAGACGAACACAGATGCACATGTAAGCACTGTAGAGGGGTTCAGATAGATTTGGGCAATGCTGGGTGAAACAAAGTGAAACAGGCTTCTTTACTGCAGTAATTCTCACGGCCTTTCATCTGCTAATGATCACTGTGAATCTAACAGGAAGATATAATGTAGAGCATTTCTCAAACGTATTGACCATAAACCCTCTTGTCACAGAGGATTTCACTGAATTATGTTTCATAGGACATCGTTTTGGAACTATTATCACAGGGTAATTTTCAATATTGTCTAGGTATCTTTTATATCTATTTTCAGAAAAGATTTTGCTAAGTTAACTGCGTTAGTGTAGAGAATGATATGAATTCTAAAGATTCCAAAGATTTTGTCAAAATGATAGGAATCTGAATATGTATGAATAAAGTCTAATAAAGTATAAATATAACTACATACATATTGTGTTATCATGTGTGAAATTATCATCATAATGTAACTTTCATTGAGTAATTTTTAAAAAAACATTTTTATTGATTTTTAGAGATAAAGGAAGAGAGAGGGAGAGATAGAAACATCAATGAAAGAGAAACATCGATCGGCCCAGCCTGTAACCCAGGCATGTGCCCTGACGGGGAATCGAACTGGTGACCTCCTGGTGCATGGGACAACGCTCAACCACTGAACCATACCATCTGGGCACATTGAGTAATTGTTAAAGATACTGCTTTTAGAAGAGATTCTTCTTTTAAAAAGTTCTGACTTTTGATATCAATTTATTCCACTAGCTCCTTTTTTTGCTCCTTCTGAAGTAAAAGTGTGGTCACTTATCTACACGTCTAGTGTGGCAAAAAGACTTAGAATTCTCATTTAGCCTCTGATTCCATCTTCTTCCTCAGCAGTAGATAAATCATCACAATTCAAAATAATATAAATAATCATATGCAGTTAATTTAAAACTAAGAGGTGGTTCTTTGGCACCAGACACTGACATTTTGACACTTCTGATTCTGTCACCTGATGAGTAAAAAGAGAAAGCTTCCATAAAGCTGTAGAGTGTTTTTAATACTTCAGTAAGAACTTACCATTAATTTTGCTTTTTATTTTGTTTTGTTTTTCCAAGTCAGAAAGATTGCCAGAACACTTTTTAAAAAATAGCAGCAATGCCCATGGCAATGGAAATCCAGCCCCCTTCTTAATAGCAGGTTCAGTTTGCCTGCAAGCTTCTCCGGCTGCTTTGCTCTCAGCACAAGCGGAAAATGGCCATACTGACTGGGGATGTGACGCAGACACCGCTCTACAGCGACAGTCCCCCCCCCCCCCCCCCGCCAATCAGACACAATTAGTGGGGAAACTTCACCCTGTAATCAGATCACGCCTACTCCCATTTCAATGGCTGATACGTGTATTTAAGAAAATGTGGGTCTTTCTTTCCTTTGTTGTTTGGTTTAGCACCCGAGTCAGGCATACAAAGCCTTCTCTTCATGATTTGTTTTCTGAAATTTTTGTACCTAAGAGTTGAGTGTTGTAGGACCTACTAGGGCACTACACAACCCAAACAGCCGCAGCAACAATTGTAAGCATAAGCCACAGTGACTATTCATTGAACCTCACTATATCAAAACACTGTATGAAGCATGGTGCGTATGTTACGTCATTAAATCTATAAATCTATGGGTGGTCTTAATTATCCCCATTTGGCAGAGGAGGAAAATAAGGCTCAGAGAAGTTAGAAAACTTGCCCAAGAAAATTGTCAGAACAAAGCTATAAATCCTGAGTGTTCTTAATCCATGTAAAAGAGTGTTTCAAATATTGTATTATTTTCATACATTTATAACATTTTAAAACCAAAGCTCTTGTTTGGAAGAAATCAAACTCTAAGAACTATTCTGATTTAAATTTTGCTACCACTTTTAAAGAAAGTTGTGCCTTTAATGGAAATTTAATTATTTTAGTGTTGTAGCACTCTCCAAGAGTGGATTGTTGTCAAATAAATTAAAATGGGACTTATAAAACCTCAAAATCTGGTAAACTACACTCAGTATGGAGGACTTTACCATAAACTGACATTCATTTTGGCTAATCTTTATCTTTAACAGAAATAAACGAAACAACCATGTTTGACACCTTCCATTTTCTTTCAAGTTTTAAAAATATTATTATGTTTTCATTCAAGTTTTCTGCAGTGGAGAAAACCAGGCAAGATGCAGTTAACGAATGAACCTAGAATGATATCATCTCATTCACTTCTCAGACCACTCATTCATCTGGAAATGACCTCATTTCTAGAGTCAGGGAACTGAATTCTCTGGGGAATCGAACTTGACCAATGTCACACAGCAAGTTATAGGCACAGCTGGACACAGAATACATTGTTTCTAAATCAGCCGATTCTGACACCATGTTTTCCTGATTATCATTTTGGGGATTTGTAAGATTATACCACTCAGCGCTTTTCATGACTAGAACTAATAAACATTTATTTAGGAATATTTGTTAAACATTTCTGGAGCACTTCCTCTGTGCCAGAGTTATGAGCACTACAGATACAATGTTGAATAAAACGAAAAATGTCCATTTTCACAGTGCTTAATTCTAGCAGGGAAGGACAGACGGCGAACAAGAAAATACGTGAACAGAATAATTTTATACCATTTTAGATGCTAAGAACAAAAGGAAATCACTGTGATATAGAGGGAGTTGAGGTACAACTCAGAGAGTGGTTTGAACATCTAGATGGTTGATGATGCCATTTATTGAGATAGGAAACAGCAAGAAAGAAACAAGTTGGACTCTGCACTTGAATCTGAGAAATAATTTTATTCAGAGGATAAGCAATACCTACACAGGACAGAAAATGACAGTACCAAGCATTCTAACTTAGATGTTAACCTTTTTTTATTTCTATTTTTAGTCCTTACTCAAGGATATTTTTTCATAGATTTTCTGGTAGAGTGGAAGGAAGGGAGGGAGAGAGAGAAACATCAATGTGAGAGAGACACATTTATTGGTTGCCTTCCTCATGACCACGACCAGGGCCGGGGACTGGACCACAACTGAGGCATGTGTCCTTGACTGGAATCAAACCTGAGACTCTTTGGTCCACAGGCCAATGTTCTAACCACTGAGCCAAACCGGCCAGGGCAGATGTCAATCATTTTGTTGTGGAAGTTCATAGAAGGGGGTGGTCTTTGCAAGATTAAAAAAAAAAAAAAAAAGACAGCAAATGTATCAACACATTTGGAAGTATTGATTTAGATTATAAAGGGTAACTAAAATTCAAATAAGCAGAGGTAAGAGAAAGTATTACAAGTATTAAGACCATGTACTTAGAAGTACATTTTAAGACTAATAAATTGAAGAGTCTGAAAAACAGTATTTGAACGTGAAAAATAATGAAAACACAAGGCTAGGCAGGGAAGTCATAGCAGATTGCACCAAGTCTTGAATGTCAAGGAATTTGGCCTTTATCATCGGAAGCCAATGAGGTATTCTGAGCTAAGAGGTGAATCTTCAGGGATGCACAACATATAACAATACCAGGTAGAATCAGTTTTTTCCTTTTAAGGAGGTTATAATGATATATGATAATTTCAGGGTATATACTAAATGTGGACAATTTTGGGGATTGACTGAGATTAAGAAATAGGAAATTTGGAATTAAACTGGTTTCCCATGGGCAGGAAAATAATTCTAATGCAGGAATTATTTTACCAAGTGAATTTCAGTCTATGAAAAAAGCCTCTTTTTATCAAAGGCATTCCAGATGGTATTATTTCTTATCCTTTTTAATAGACACAAAGCAAAGATCCAAATTAGAAAACAGAACATATTGATACTATAGCCTCTGACTGAACTGATATTTTTCCACATGGTGATAGACCTCCTACCCATTCTGATGCCGTTTAAGCCATTAACCTTGATATCTGTGGACTTCACATTTGGTGATTTATATGTTTCTTCCTATGATGTTATCTTTTAATGGTCTCTCTGTTTGTCACAGGAGCTGTTGGCCTCACTTGCCTAGGTTTAGTTGTATTTAACTGGAAACTCCAACAAGGCAGAGCAAATGAACATACATCAGAAAACCTTTGTTGCAGAACCTTTGGTGAATCCCTGTGTGCTCATGAGGCAAGAAATTACCACGCTAAGGGATACTGTAACTGCCACTTAACTCAGGAAAACGAGATAAAGGTCATGTCCATTGTGGGGTCCAGAAAGGAAATGCCACTGTTCCAGGGAAACAGCCATCAAGCGGCGCTGACCTCGGAGTCCACAGCCCTTGACGGACCATTTAGAAACCTGAAAGGGAAGGCTCAGGAGGCAGGCAGCGCTTTCGTCTGCCTTGGGGGCCGATTGCTGCGGTCGGGATGTTCAGAGCCTCCTGGGAACATGGCAGCTTTTAATGAAGCAGGCTTACTTGCAAGATATTGTCCAAAGAGAGCTGAAAATCTAAGGAATCTTGAGCCTGGGGAAGTCCAAGCTCAGACTCTGCCACAGCTTGCAACCAGAACAATAGGTGAGTTGTCTTGTTTGAGCAAATCCCACTCCGTTGAAATCCCTCTGAAGGAGGGAGCCTCTTTTAATTTCCTCAACAGGGGAATAAAAATCATCGTCGCACCCGTCTACTCCTTTTCTAAAGAGAGTGTGTGCGAGGTTGTGTGTGTGCGTGTGTGTGCATGCGTGTGTGTGCATGTGTGTTTAGGGTGAGGCATAGATGAAGACTCCCCACCCTCCGGAGCTGAGCGTACTTCCTGTGCCTGTTGTAAAGCGAATTTTGTGACCCAACACCTAACAATGTTAAAAAATAAAAGAAGCCTTTTAAATAGCAATAGGGCTGTGAAGATTTATGGGTGGCTGAATATTGGCTTCCCTTCCAACATCCTCCGAGCGCTAATGCCAGTTCTGCGGTAAGCAACCTTCCCAGAGCATGACATGTTAGAAGAATGGGCCTTCTAATGCTAGTGATTCATTTCAGGAATGATGTCAAGACACATACTTTGCTTGCTGAGCTGTCAGGGATGATAACTTCCCAGTCCAGAGAAAGTCAGGACTTAATTCATTGTCCCATGTTGGGAGCCAAGCGAATCTGGCCGTGACATCTCTCCACTGTACACGGGCGATGTCAATATTTAGGTGGAGGCAATGAATTAAATGTCTTCCCTTTTCTTCCTGAATAGTAAGGCGATGCTTTCAGGCTGAGCAGTGAAAACTTTGACAGGTGCTCTGTAAAGAGGCTCCTGTCATTTATTTGAGTTGGTTTACAACACGCTGAGCTTTCTCCCAGAATATGAAGGACAGAGGTACTACTCCAAGATATTCCTACCATGGGGATCTGGCCCTAAGGATGGGACAACTGGAAAAGAATAAAACTGTATGTTCTTCCACATGTGGCATAAGGCAGGATGTGAATGTGTTCCATTGCATTCCCAGACTCTAGTTTTTACTAGTTTCTGGGGACTGCTGAGTCGGCTCACCAGAGGAATGGCCGAGGAAAGAAACATCTGCCATAACAATCAGATCAGATGGTTGTTTTTTTTACTTAAAAAAAATAAGCTCTTAGGCTTTCAATAGAATTATACCTTAGCCACCTGTTTTACTTTAGCTTTGTCGAATGCCTACCTTCTCTGTGGGAAAATCCTACACTGAATGGAATAGGGTTCCTTCACCACTTAAAACCCAGTCCCTTGCTTCACACAGAGAATATTGGTGGCCAAACCAATGCAATTGCTTTTAAGAAAGATTTGAAATCCTGTGACATGCCAGGCACTGTGCTAAAGCTGGAGAGGACAGGTATTTGAGGAGCAAACAGCCAAGGCGACTCCTGCTCCAGAACAGACGTCACTAAGGGGCAACATTTCTCTGGTTGTGCCTTCTTACTGGGAAGCACAGAATCGTAGCGTTTCAGGGGTAGAGGAGACTTTAGAGACGATCTAGTCAAATAGTTCTTCATATTTATCTCGGAGTCACAGAACTCTGTTAGAATCTGATAAAGGTTACAAACTCTTTTCCCAGAATAATTTTATACCCACATAAATTTTATACCCACATAAAGTTATATCCACATAAAGTTCCCATCTAGTCTAATCTTCTGATATCCAGACAATAAGTGGCTTCTCCAAGGTCGCTCAGGAAGTTGAAGGCAAATGTTAGATAATATCAGATGCTAGTCTGAGTCGTAGTTCACCTCTTCCTTTCTATCATGAACAGAAATATTTTCCTCCTTCCTCTGATAAAACAAGCAATTTCACAAAACCGAGAAAGTGCACTGATAAGATGAAATGTTACATTTAATATGCATTGTAGTTAGGATAGGGTTTAGTGTCAGACAGACCCAGGTCAAGTTCTGCCCATACCATTAAGTTGACATGTGACTGGCAGAAAACATTCAACCTCTCTAAGTTGTTCTTTTCTTCATTTGTGAAAGTAATAGGATAATAAGACTTGTCCAATGAATTCGGATTCTTGTGATTATTAAATGAAATAATGGATGTCCTATATTTAGCACAATACCTGGCTCTTCGTATACGATTTTGTCATATATCGTTAACCTGCACTATGTAATGGTCCCAGGCAGAGATTTTTGTAACACAGACCAGGTCATATTCTAAAAGACTTATTCATTTAACAGATATTTAATGAATACTGTATTAAGTGTTGGGACATAAAAAACAGGTACGGTCTCTGCTTTGATGCATCAAGAGTATCACAAGGATTTTTCTTTTGTTGTTGAAACTTGAACACTACTCAATATTGTATTATATTCTTTCTAATATTTAGTTCCAAGTGAAAAATGAATGCAGATAAAAATTACTATGGTTATTTGAAGAAGGTTGAAGTATTATTTACATTTAAAGCTAACTTAACCAACACCTAATCAAAAGATGTACAACTCTGAATAGTTTTATTTCTAATTCCAAAACATTTTGTTGTTGTTAATCCTCACCTGAGGATATTTTTCCATTGATTTTTAGATAGAGTGGAAGGGATGGAGAGGAGGAGGAGGAGGAGAGAGAGAGACATCAATGTGAGAGAGACACATCCATTGATTGCCTCTCACAAGACTCCTACTGGGAATTGAACCTGCAACGCAGGTACATTACCTTGACCAGGAATTGAACCTATAACCCTTTGGTCCATGGGCCAACGCTCTAACCTCTGATCCAAACCAGTCAGGGCTAATTCCACAACTTTTAAATCAGCATTCCAATGGATTAAAGCGTGGTCATAGAGAGTGTCATTGCAAACACACCAAATTGCCAAACGTCCTTTGTGGGGTTGGTTAAAAATTAGAAAATATTCAAGAATTACCATAACCAGAGGAATCAGTTTTACATTTTTGATAAGGTTTCTATGCATCTGTTCGGTTGGGGTCAGAAAGCTCTGCTCAGTGTTAAACTCCTGCACTTATTGTTCCGCAGATATCAGCAGTGACACATTTAGTAGAAGATATGCAACACCCGCTTCAGCCTTGGCAAGAGAGAGTCTTGAAAAGCCTTTAGCAAATGGATCATGGCAGCCTCCAATAGGAAAAGAAGACAATGGCTTACAACCTCGCAGGCAGCGACGTTATATTACAAGCTCATCATCCGAGCCTCGTAAGCCTGAGGAACACTACCTACAAAAGGTCTTACAAAAACATAGCTCAAAATATGTTGGTCCTTGTGAACTGTTGAAACAGAGCAGGCCTAGGTATTTTCAGCCCAATAATTCTCTTATCTGTAAATATGTGCTTTATGACCAATTTAATGATTATGCGAAAGAAAAGAAGCCAAGTCGAGAACATTCAAAGTCCGAGAAAGAGCAAACCCAAATTTATAGAGCAATAGAACAATTTCTTACGGATGAGGACAACATGGAGTTACCAGGGTTATCAACAAATACCAAGAAACCATATTTCCCTAAGAGTGTTAGCTTCCATGATTCTGGTTTAGTTGAAAAAAATAGGTTGGTGATGTCATCCAAAACATCAACCCATTCGAAACAGCAGAAAAATCAAAGTAACCACCTGACCACCTGGGATCTCAAAAAATGGAGCAGTCCTGGAGAGAGAAGCAAAGGCGGAAAACGGCCTACTGACACACAGCTTCTGAAAAAAAAGGGAACCAATCAATCTGTCCCCAGAGGGAAAATCAAAAAGAAAAATTTAAGGATAAAATTAAATTTACACCCCTTTAGAAAAGTCAGAGTTTATCCAGAAAAATCCTTGTCAGAACTTCCAAAGAAATGCAAACAAGTATTGTCACCTCCTAATAAATTATCCAAAGCTTCTGAGAAAGGAGCCAAAATAAACCTTCTGTCATCTGCAGATTTCCCCCGAAAGCCAGAGACTAACAACTATGTTGCAATCATTTCAAAGACGCTGCCTCTCAAACAGGCCCCGGATCAGACCCCATGCTACAAAAAACACACTAAGAAGTCTCCTCTGCTCAATGCTAACAACTTATCTTTGGCCAGCCAGAGCTCTGTGGGAGGCGGCTGTCACCTTCCTGGTCACATTCCTGATGGAAGCCCAGCAATGTCGCCGGGGCTCACTCCCAATGCAGCTGAACACGGGCTCACACACACTCAGTTCTCAGCGGAGCAAAAGGAAAGTGTAACTCACTTCACACTGGCAGCTTCCAGGTATTTACCAGCTTCCTGGGAAAATACAGGAAGTGACATGTTGGCATTTTGCCCTTTTAGGGGGGCTGCTGACCAAGGGGCAGTAGAGCCCACTGAACACACAGAACGGGACAATTCTACATCCAAGGAGCCAGACCAGTTTTCTTCTTCCTTGGAAAACCAGACACAAATCGTCGGTGACCATACGACTGAGACCTACAAGGAACACACTGTGGATCAAAATCAAATGTTACCACGTGGAGTGTACCACTCAAGTAATGAACAACCTGGAAATGAAGACAAAACAATGACCAAACCTAAAATGTCACATCAGATTATGGAACATTGTACTATGGAGGAGGGAAATGATGTAGAAACATATGATTCCTCTCTCAGTCCCCGAACACAATCCAAGGACAACTTAACGTTTACGAAGACAGATTCTATTCTGCACCAAAATAGAAAAGAACTTCCCAAGGATATCGGTACTTCTATTAGTACTCAGGACAGTTGGCATCTAACCAACAGTAGCAAAAAAAAACCTGACTGCACAGAGGCATTGCCCAGAGATGCTGGCACTGAAGCCCCAGAGATAAAAATAGTAGGGAAAGAGGAGGAAGAAATGTCTGATAAAAGCAAGGCAGATTCTAGTATGGTAAATCACATACAACAGATGACCTGAAAAGGCACCATAAAAGCAAAGCAGCAAACTGGGGAAAATGGAAAAAGTAAAACTCTTATATCATATGGTTCAAGTTCTGTTGAGACGACTACTACAGCTAAGGACTTAAGTATCATGAGTTCCCCTGAAACCGAAAATAGACTACCTCCTAGTGAAACAGATCTTCAAATAAACAGTAGCATGCATGACTCGAGAGAGGCTCAACATATTCAACCAGATAAAGGCAACAGTGCACTCAGAGCAGGCGCAGCCACAGTGGCGACAGGTGAGGCAGTTCCCCTCTTACCACAGTTAAGAGACATTGAGTTTTGAGGCAGAAAATGAGGTGCCTCTAATTCCTAGAAGAATAAATGAAGCTGAAAACTCTGTTCTAAAACACACACTATATCCACCATCTGCTGAATATGCTAACACATCACCTTTACAGGCGGAACAAAGTGAACAGAACAACTCAAATAATCATTTTCTACTTTAGCTTTCTTCAAAAGGACACACAGACACGCCCAGCCTTCACATGCATTTCAGTTGCATTATCTTGGAGGAGAAAAAAATCCTCAGTAATGCCTTGTTATCAATGAAATACAAGTATACAGTTGAATAGGTGATGCAAAAATCAAAGATAGAGCCGCACGACATGTTTGATGCAATGAATTGAGTTTTCTTCTCTAAGGAATGGGAAAATGGGAAGGGAAGTTTTGCCTAGTCCTGGAAAAGAAAGACAAAAAAAAAAAAAAAGCTCTAAGCAAATGAAAGATTAAAGACGAAAAACGTACTTGAGCAGATTTACACTTGATGTTTATTTTATGGAAATTACTATACACATCTCAATTAGTGGTATTACAATATTGCTTTCTACAGAGATGATTATATATTCATATTTGTGCCTGATCTGCTTTCCTAATTATGGTATGAAAATAAAAATTGAGCATTGCTTGTTAACCGTAGTCTAGCTGATATGTGTATTGGTATATTTCAACCACTCGTGACTGTTCTGTTGACAATTATGTTAGGTCTTAAGTAGAAGTCTTAAAAACCTGTTAATTCTGTAAGAGAGAGAAAAAAAAATTAAAGATTTCTCTAAAATCTGTAGAATCCTGTCAATCCACTAGGTGGAGATCTCAGCTTCAATCATTTCAGTACAAATGGAGCTGCAGGATCAACACAATGGATCCTGAATAAAAGGAATTTGAAGGAGCTTTATTGCCAATCCTTATTAACTTAAGATTTTGAAAACTAAATAACCCATTAACATATATGCTTTCGGGGTTTGATGCCTTGAGTTCAGCACGCCGCTATTGTTTGGTATGAGCATCCCTTCTCGCGCGTAGAAATTAAATGTGCTTATAAATATTCGATTTCAAAGAAAGAGCAGAATAAGCATCTCTCATTCAATGTCACACTTATTTAAAAGATAGAGGTGTACTCAGATGGTAATTTTATTAATATACCAGAAAACCGTTAAAGGCATATTGTCAAGGTATAGAATATTTTACATTTCCTAGCGGGATAAACGAAGCTTGCAAGGCATCTGACTTCCTTTTCACTCTGTCTTTATCTGTCCAGGTATCTGTATCTATAGACCTACATTTGGCAATATTACAAAGCTTAAAAGACTGTTAGAACAATGCAAATAATGCTTATTTGACTCACCTCCCTTCTGTTTTCTTTCCTATTCACAATTACCAGCAAATGGCAATTTCCATATTTCAGAGGATCCTAACCTTACCACTCTTCCTTCTCTTTTCTCCCTGGATCCAAAATTTTCTTGGTTGTAACTTCAACTCCTCTGCCCTGTATTTTTGTTCAGACTCTCCGCTCGAGCTGAAATCCCATGCCATCTGTCTGCCCCTCCTGGCCCCACTTCATTTTGTTAAGCTCCTTCAAGGTGCAAGGAGCATTTATGCCAACTTCTTGCCCAGTAACTTTATTCTAATGGACAGCTCCCTCGGTTCTGCAGACCAGGTTACTTCTTTTCTTGTTAGCCGTCTATTTTTTTCCCTTTTCTTTTTTTTTTAAGCACCTTCACCTTAATGCAGGACTCTTAGATTTGTTCTCCTCTGACTGCCCACAATATCCCTGATATCTATGGGCCCAGTGAGTGCTCTGGTCTCTGGCCAGCCCTGCAGTGCCCCAGGACTCTTTTCTCTCTCCCTTTCCTCAATCCAGTCCTCCACTTCTGTATGCTGTTATGTTTCCTTTGAAGTAGCTCTCAGGGTTATTCCTGTGTCTGAATCCCCATGGTAACCATTGTAGTCTTTGTGTTGTAATCAACTGGATTACTGCAATAGCAGCCCAGCTGGACCTCTGACTTTCCTGTCTTTTGCTTCTGTTCAGCCCACGAGTTCTTTGTCTTTATTGGGCACAAATTACTTGGGGTGCTTGTTGAAATGCAAAGTTCCCAGCTCCATCCCAGAGATTTTGAGTCAGTCGATTCAGAATAGGGCCCCAGAATCTTTGTTTTTACAAGCATTTCAGGGTAATGTGGAGCCTGTAACATGCAGCCAACACACGAAGAAACAATGCGTAGGCATCCCAGTGCCCACTGGCAGGTAATCAAGTGCCTGCCCTACTGTGGAACGACATACACTTCTCCAGGTGAACAAATCCTTCATACCAAACTCAGATGAATTTTCAAAAACACATTACTTTTATATATTTCTTTGCTGTTTTGGAGACAAAATACACTTGCTGATAACTGTATGTCCAAATTTCCTATTCTGGTTTCCAAGGCTTCCTCAAATCTGATCCCATTTTGCTATGAGGACGTTCTCCTTCCTTTCACTGTTTTTCAATAAGAATTTCCCATTTCCCATAGGCTGATATTCTCATTTTTTTTTTATCCTCACCCGAGGATATTTTTCCATTTTTTGCACAGAGTGGGAGGGAGAGAGAGGAAGAGAGAGAGAGAGAGAAACATCGATGTGAAGGGACACATCGAGTGGCTGCCACCCGCATGACCAACCAGGGCCAGGGACAAACTGCAACCGAAGTACGTGCCCTTAGCGGGAACCGAACCCGGGTCTCTCCGGACCGCAGGCCGACGCTCTAACCGCTGAGCCAAACTGGCCAGGGCTATTCTCATTCTTTTATCTTTATGGGTCTTGACTAAGAAGACACACATAGGAAACAATAATATGCTTCAAATTCAAGAACTGAGACAAAAACAGACATATAAGAAAAAATGAGTCATGAAGTTGATAATCCAGAAAATAATGACCAGGAAAGCATGGTGTCAGTGTTTTAGATCTGACGATGAACTTGTTTCACATGATGCCTGGTATAAAGATTTAACCCAATGCTCTGGCTGGTTTTGCTCAGTGGTTAGAGCGTCGGCCTTCGGACCAAAGAATCACAGGTTTGATCCTGGTCAAGGGTACATACCTTGGTTGCAGTTCAGTCCCTGGCCCTGGTCGGAGTTGTGCAGGAGGCAACCAATCGATGTGCCTCTTTCACATTGATGTTTCTCTCTCTCTATCTCTCCCTTCCACTCTGTTCGAAAATAAATGGAAAAATATCCTCCAGTGAAGATTAAAAAACAAAAAAATTTAACCCATCAGTGGCTACAATGTTTCAATAACTAAGCCTCTCCCTTGTGAAGTCTCACAACACATTTTTATGTTCCCTCTTTCTGGGGACTGTTTTTTTCTCTCACCAACCACCTTCATTCAGCAAATTCTCATTTATGTTTATGATCTCAGCTCGTGTTTTCTTCCAGGAAACCTTACTGGACCTACATTGGCTCTGTGTCCCCCGTTTGCTAGCATTCTTTAGTCTGTATTCTCATCTAATCTTGTTTTCCTTTATCTTAGTTTGTAATTATAAAACAGTTAATGTATTTATCCAGTTAATCTCCATTTGACCACTAGGCCTTAAATCCCATTGAGAACATATCTCCATGGAACTCCAGCTCCTATTCCTGGTGCAGTATATAGTAGAGACTCAAACAACTGTTGAAGGAAAGAACAAAAACTAGCCCATTGTTCCCTTTATTATCACCACTCAGCCCACTGACATGGTAAAGACCTAACTGGACCATGTAATGATGACTCAGGCATGTCACATCCAGAAGAAGATCAATTTCATAATGTTGACATGGATACTGCAACGTCCACCTGACTGACAAGCCCAGATATTGCCAATCAGAGACTTTGCTTTCCTACTCTGTTTTCTCCTCATTCTCTTTCCTGAAGCTCATGACCAGAGCCCAGGCCTATACTTGATAGTCTTCACTGCTTAGCAATACAACCTTTCCACTAAGTACTCGATTTTTGGCGCGTGTGTGTGTGTGTATTTTTGGTCTCATTCTAGTTCTCTTTATCATTTCCCAATCTGTTACTTATGGCATCCATTCTACCCTCCAAAATACTCTTAGCAGCTTCCAATGACTTCCTTTTATCTCCAAATTAAAATTTCCATATGTCCCTTATCTATAATCATAAAAAGTTCGTTCATAAAAGCAAAAGGGATTCCCTGGATTGTTATTTTATGTTATACCTTGGAAAAGCTCACATCCCACATAGAGAAGGACATTTTGGATTAGGTACTTGCCATCCTTATTTCTAGAAAATATACCTGAGGTTCATGTACAGAGACAAGGAATAGTTTATCCCAAACTATTAACTTTTAAGATAAATTCTGGACATCAAAATCCATATGAGGTGATTAGAGGCACTGATCATCAATAGTGATATCCATTCATTTACTCAACAAATATTTTTGAACGCCTACTAGGTATGTTTCTGGGTACTGGCATGATACCAGTAGACAAAACAAAATGAAGAAACAAAAACAAGTTCCTGCATTTATGGAGCTAATATTCTGGTAGTGAGAGGAGAGTCTACAGGAATAAATATGTAATCAGTCAGACTGAGTGGTCAGGAGTACAGGTTATTTCTTCTGAGATACTCAATCCATGTCCCATAGCAATCTTCATTTTTCTTCATAAGAGTTCTCTATATCCTTGTGGGATGGGCTATTGACTTGGTCTGGGTTTTGCCTTTTGAAAATGAGTAGGAAAGTTGCTTTCTCCTTCCAAACATCTGCACTGGGGCTTATTCTATTTCTCCTATGGTGAGATGCTTACTGAGATAACAATAGCCTCCCTTTCTCTGCTCCTTTCTTTGTCAAAGAGAGATAAAGTACCTGGGAAGAATCAGAAACAAGGACCTATAAGAAAAGAACAGCAATAACTAGGATGGTTGGAACTGGATGAATAAGGGCTATTAGGCTTTGTATAAGAATCTCCAGTGTGAAGAATGTGAAGTAATTCCCTCCACTCAGAAGAATCAATGTGGACTGATGTCAATGTACAAGGATTTCAATAGACAACAAAACATACTGGCAGGGGGACTCTCAGACACTGTACTAAACTGTGTTCTCAGGACCGAAGTTGTGGAATCTCCTCCTTTGTCAGTCTCTGAGGACTAAGTAGACACCAATCTATCTGGTACAAATAAGAAGAATCTTTTCCTACAGACAGATGGTCTGTGATTTCATTCTGGAATTATGTGGCTATTTTCCCCTACTCTCTTAGGTCATGAATTATATTTAAAAATGTTTTTTCCCCACTGTTTACATACCATACTTTATTTATTCCTTCCGTAACATCAAACCCTTCATTTGGACTCTACATCTCTGCTCTTGACCACGTGAATACAGCCACTCTGAGTTACAGAAGGAGGAGGGCCAGGTCTCCTGCCTCCCGCTGGAGACAGGGCTGCCGAGGACCACTTGTCCCGGGCCTGTGCCCGAAGGCCTGCCTCATGGTGAAAAGCCCACACACACCCATTTGGGGCCAAACTTCTTTCTCCAGAAAATGACTCAGTGTGGCTGAAGCGTAGTTAATAAAATCGCAGCTGAGATGAGAATGTGAGTCATCTGTCATACCCTGGCTTTTCTTTTACTCATCAGTTGTGAGAAACATCTAAAAATCAGAGCAGCAGCAAAGAAATATGAGATGCTCAGACTCCTTGAGGCAATTAGAGACTAAAGAGCAGAAGGCAAATCAGTCTTCCCGCCTTGACAGTCTTAAAATACACATTGAAAGAACACTTCGGTGTTACATTATTGGTGACAGATTTGGACCATAACACATTTTCTAAGAGGAAATAAAAATGACTCACTTCAGGACATGCGTTCCACCCTCGCATCAGCAGTGACGATAAGGGCTTGGGAATAGAATAGCCGATGGGGGGTCTGATGTGGTGGTAGGCCATGTCCGCCGCCGCCGCCGCTGCAAACCAAATGGTCGTGTCAGTTTGGAAATTCGCATATTCATTTCAAGAAACCTATGAACAGGCAACAATCATCGAGAATCAACCTATACACCATCAGGAGAGATTCAGAGAGAACTCTATGCCTTTTATTTTAAAGTTTAAACAAAACTTGGATACTTTGATGCTCTATGTTTATTTTTATAAATTCATTCATTTGGTTGTTCATTCAGTGAATAGTGAGCAGCAGAAATATGTATTGGAGCAAAGGAACACACAAAGGGGCATGCACATCTCATAATTGAGTGTGTCTGAAATATAGGGTACGTGATGTTATAGACAGTAAAGACTGAAAAGCAGATTGGACCAGACTGAACCATGCCATAAATCTCAGGGTAGCGAGCTTATAATATACATAGCAAACCATGGGGTGTCACTGAACTTTGCATTGTGAATTACTTGGGCAATACAGATTATTTTTTAAGCTTAAATCCCATTACTTGTTACAAGAAGGTTAGTTTTAATTTTTAATATTTATAGTTATTATTTGCTGAGCTCTGTCAGAGATTTCACATCCATCTTTTTAGCTAATACCACTCATTGATTGGACCCCTCGTGCTGCCTGCCTGTTTGGATTTCTGAGTATTGCTCATCTCAAACTCCCCATTACCGTGTTGTGATCCTTGGGACTTCACTGCAGATTACTGATTGCTGATTATTTTTCTGTTCTGTATCCAGCGATTTCTATACTCCCTTGGAAACCAAGCTTATAGCTACTTTTATTAAATACATTTTGCATCAGGCATCATGGTATTTACAGATATAAGCTCTTACAATCCCCCTAAAAACCTGTATGTTGCTGTTATGTGTTGTGTGTGTGTATGTAACAAGTTTTAATATACAAAAAATGAAATATACTAGTAGTTGCTGTAGCCTCTCATTCCCAGTTGCATGCTCTCTTCAGCCACCCCACACTGAAAATACTTTGTGAACAACCCAGGAAGCTCTTTTCAGGCCTCAGAAAAACTGCTCTGCACCCGTGGGAGGCGAAAGTTCCAGGGCACTGCTGCTTCCTGTCTTCTCGATGTGATGTCACAAGCATCTGTCTGTATCTTAATGACTTGAGGTGTGACCCTCACCCACTACCTGTCCACCTAAGTTTGCTCCAATTAACTTCTGTTTATAGATCTGCTCTAATGAAATTATTTGCAGTGTAACTTAACATTTGGCTTTATGGGTCAGTCAGAATTAGTATCTAATTTTGCCAAATATAAAATTTATACTTATTCTTTGCAGAAGTTTAGAAAATTAAAGGAATTAGAATAAAATTGTATTCAGAGGAAACAAGTGTTAAAATATTTGGAGTATGTTCTATATAATATTTATGTCATTGAGCTTGTGTCTAATATACAATTATGTATACTTTTCCCCTTAAGTTAAATATAAGTATTTCCAATATTATTAAAACTCTGTTAACATATTTTTAATGATTCTGCATTTAAAGTGATTTACCTAATCATTTCTCAATTTTAGGTTGTTCAAATTTGGGTGTAAACACTTCAAAGAATGTCTTTTTTAATGACTTTCTTGATCTCACAGAGTACTTACAACATTTTGAGAGGTGAAATTAATATACCAGAGAGGATGTTTTCCTGAATAGTTGTACTACTTTATACTTTCAATACCAAGTGTGTAAGGTTTTTATTACACCTGCACCAGAAATAGGTTTTTTCGCTTTATAGAAGATGTTGCTAATATGAGAGGTAAATATATCAGCTCAATTGCTACTGTTTAAACTTTGTTCTTTGATAAGTAGTGACAAGGCTTAATATTTTCCCAAACATATATTATTTGTCTTTAAAATCTTAGTTCATGCCCTTTGCCTGCCTAGGATTTTAATGTTTCATCGTAACAGCTGTTCTAATCAACAAAACACATAGAGGGCAGTCAGGAGTCTCATTTTCTCTTTTGTCTTCAATCCCTTTGTAGAATATTTGTGCGGTCACATTTGCCAACAATTTCTAATGCTATCAGATAGACTTATGGTTGCGAACACTGAGAAAACAAAGAACAAAAGGCTGATCGTATTTAGCAAACTTAACGCGACTATAAAACGTGTCCTTTGTGTTACAAAAAACGGCATGTTAGGCTCCTTCCATTGGCTACTCTTGACTACTTTAAATTCTTTTTGGAATGCGATAAATAAATAAGCAAACAAACTGATGCTTAATGATCACTGATCTAACTCTATTTTGTCACCTTATGACCATTTGGATATTGTTGAGCTGGAGCAGCTATAAGCACATCAACCAGCGTAGTGAACATATTTAAACTAATTATACATATCCTAATGGGTGGGGAGGGACTATTCATACAGTGAGTTAAACTCTCACGCAGGTGCCAGAAGTCTCCTCTGAAACTCTTTTAGACCCTGATATCAAGTTGCTTGTTTGCTTCTTGGCACTGTGTCTGGAAAACCAGTTTAAGATGAATGATATTTAATTCCTCATTATTCAAAGTAGATTCTGCAAGGCCTTGGCATCTCCTTCTCCCTTTTGCTTTGCACAGTCTTGGCAGTGATAGTACTCATTAGCACCTTCGCCATGAAGTGGGCAATGCCACATAAGGGGTCATGGAACTGAAATTTGTCACCTATGAGATTGCTCTGTCAGTCTTGCCTAAGTGGCCATGCTACACCAACAGCTGGGAAATTTTCTGGTATTCCAGATTCAGAAAAGTTACTGCAAGCCCATTAATCATATTTTACCTTGATTGCTACATAAAATATGTTAAATGATTTATGTGAATGTTGGTTCCTACTTTCACAACAAAAACTTTGCTATTATAAGGGAATAAGGTTACATTAAAAATATCAATAGTTTTTTATTGAGCACCTATTCTTTTGTCAGCACTATCCTGAAATAATTATCAATCATTTAGTAAAGCTTATAATCTAGCTTCTAGAGTAGGGCTATTCAGCGGAACTTTTTCAGTGATGAAAATATTACTCTGTGCTGTGCAATATGGTAGCATATGGCTATTAGGCACTTAAAAAATATGGCTAGCATAACTGAGAAGCTGAAATTTTAATTTTATTTAATTTTGATGAATATAAATTTAAATTTAAATGGCCATGTGTGTCTAGTGGCTCCCGTATCAGACAGCACAATTCCAGAGCATCATTGTCTCCCATTCCCATTATCCCAAAAGAAAGTTGAATTAAACACAATTTTGTAAGTCAGCCTTAAGGGTCTACATAACCCTAGTGTTGATTTGTGGATTCAAGTTCTTCATTTTTTATCAAAACTTCATCAGGAAAAGAAAATCCATACATGGAGATTGTCAGTGTTGGTTCTCAAAAGAGACCAGTGAACAAGAGACCAGGCATTCACTATAAGATGTGATAACCTTCACTCATTTATTCATATGACAAAATGCATTGACCATTTATGTGAATAATGATGAGCTAAGAAAGAAAGTGAAGTGTTATGCTTTTTAATAAAATATAGTAAATAAATGCATAATTAATGAAGACATTAATTACTGGATTTTTCTCTGCTTTTTAATGGTTCAATTATGAACCAGCTTTTCTTGGAATCCTTTCCCCTGCATTCTCTTCTTGCATTACATCTACTGTCACTTAGGTCATAGTTTAGATGAACTCTTTCTGTGTCCTTCCTGTGTCCTGCCACCCCATACACCATAGCATACAATGTTTTATACTTAATTACCTATTCACTTGCTGGCCTCTGCAAATAAATCACAAGTTCCTTGAGGTCAGTGACTGTGACTTTTCACCATTGTATCTCCTGTGCTTAGCACAGCGTCAAGCAATTAGGCATTCAATAGATATGCACGGAATGAATCAATAAATGAGGTAGTTCAAAATAAGGTTTCCCTGGAAGTAATATAGATCGTGGTATATAGAATTCAGTAAACAGTGTTTATACAATCAAGTGAAGATGAAGGATTGATACCAATTAATATCTTGTTCATTATTATGTTTTTAGGACAGAGAATAATTCCTATTCATCAAGAAATATTGTAGAATGAATATAATGCTGAGTTTAATATTAACTTACACTATAATTAGGTCAATTATTGAGGTCTGGTGGCATATTTAGTACATAATACTTTCTTTTGTTCAAAGCCTTTGGGGAGGGGCTTCAATAAACTGAAGCAGTATGACTATTAAGAAATGCCCTTAACAAGGAAGTCTGGAGGCCTAATTTCCAGTCTGGCTTTACTTTGAACTCTCTGGGAGATCCTAATTAAGCTAATTTGCCTCTGTGAGTATTAATTTCTCTAAATTTAAAGATGAAACAGTGAGGACATCGTATAATGGTGACAAGCCTGGACTTTGGGGATGGGGAGCCATGCATTTAAGTCTTGGCTCTACCTCTTACTAGCATGTGACATTGAGCATATATCTTACCCTAACAAAATCCAAACCATAGGTTACTGTTAGAATGAAAAGAGACAGAGTACATAAAACATCTGGCTCATTGTCGGTTCCAAATACGTAAACGCTAGCTGCTGTTGTTGCTAGTAATTATTATCCACATATCTAAGGGTCTTTCTCATTCCTTTCAGTCTGAACCTAAAGAACTGTTGTATATTGTCTGTTCTGTCTAGACCAAAAATCTTAGTTACTGTTGAGATTTTCCTTGGATATGCACAACAAGTGAAACATTGCACGGAGTTACCGTGAATGGCAAGGCTGCAAACCACGGCGCGGTGGAGAGCATGACTATGCAGTTCTCCACGATGGACTCAATTAGCTACACATTGCTTACAGACAAACTGGTACTAGATTTTGAATCCGTACAGAAATCTATCACTTATTCACTTACGTTTTATAAAACTAAATCTAGGCATTCGTATATATAAAAAAAAGAGAGCAATAAAGTACCATATTTTGTTCGTAAGTTTTGACTAAGCTAAAATTGCCAGAATGTTTTTCTTTCCCCCAGTTTGGATTGTGTGTATGCATGCTCTAAAAACACACTTGATTCTACTT